TACAAAAAGAAATTATAAGCTTAATGTCGATGTGTGCGTACATTTGTGTATGTGTGTGTATGTTGACTCCCAAAAACAAATCTTTTACTTTTCTTAGCTACGTTTGGCTTATATTGGTCCGGCAGTGTAAGAATATTAGGGCTTTTCAAAAATGATGAAATCCAATTTTGAGTATGATTCCAATAGAATAAGTAATTTTTAAATTTTATATATTTTTTTGTTTGATAAAACTTACAAATGACTATTTAAAAACTATACCAGAACTAATAATAATTAAATCATTAAAATCATACCAACTAAAAGTAATACTGTTAAGAATAACTCGCGTAAGGTATATAAAAAATATTAATGTTCTTGGCTCCAATTATAACTATATTTTAGTTTTAATATCTCTATTAGTATAATTATTTAAATAAAAACAAAGTTTTTTTTATATGTTTTCTACGATTCAATATTATTAATTAAATTCCTTGTAATTGATAACATTACTAATACCCGATGTCCCTTTAATGTCATCGAAGCCTTAGAATAAATTAAAAACGAAGTGTTCGTCAATTTGCAACTGTTAATGAATTTCAACATTTCATCTCGTCGGGGGTCCATTGAACCCTTAATTGAGTTTAATTTCGCTCCTAAAAGGTTTGCCGAGTAAATGTATCTAGAAAATTAAATTTCATACTTTATTATATTAAACAAACTTATTATGTTATACGAAGATTATGTGGAGTTTTGTTAATCAACATTAATTTTGGGATTTAATATGAAATATTAATTTAGAAATATTGGCGTTTAATCATGTATAGATATTATATTGTTTTCAATATAAAAGCAATGTTGAGGTTAAATCTGAATTAAAATTTAAATAGAATTTATATCAATATGACGTCATAGACACGAGAATGATTTGAACCTGTAGCCTTCAGAACGCTTGTTGCTCAATAACTTTGTTGATACAGCACTAAGGTCAGGGTATTTCGTTTATACTTAATTTAATTTAAATCTTAAAAAGGTATATTTAACAACTATAGGATATACAGATATTTTTCACGCAGACATATACATATATGTATATATACACATATCTTCAATTTCCTATATCAGTTTAATAGTTTTTGAATTAAATCAACAACAGACAAACATACTCAAACAAACTTACTTTATTAATATTATAAACTTTAATTATGTACGAATAGTCTTTAAGTAATATAACTTATTCGATGAACACAATATGTATCGATTATCGATTTGGTAGCTAAAGGTAACAAATTAAAATTGATTTCCATTTTCTCAAAACTCACTGTTCGACGAATAACTTGATAAGTTCTTTGTCTAATTCCCAATTACAGGTAAAGTAAATTTTCTACTTACACATACAAAGGAGGCCTTATAACTAATATTACATTGAACTATACAATAATATATGATAAATTACTCAAGAATATCAAAATCACGATCTTTTCAATAATCAAATGTACCCTTAAACCTTTCGGGCGAATTAAAAGCAATTCTAAAAAACTGTTCGTCATTCAGCCTTTAATTACACGAATGGCTGTTAACTTCACGTCTCGAGGGGTAAGTTTAGAGAGAATCGCCTTCGTAGCGTTGCTACGCGTACTGTCGTAGGCCGCTACGCTGCACGTAGTATCGATCGTAGCGCTACGACGGTCGGTTCAGAGCGGTTTTAAAACCATCGGCCTTATATTGTGCTTTATAAAGCAATATAACCATAAATGTACTGAAAAAATATTTTGTTTGAAATTTTATTATTATTACGATAAGGGATTTTTTAAGGCGATGTATAAATAAATTTTATATAGATAATGTTATTATACAAAATATGTAAGTGTCTTAATGAAAAATAACAAATCTAAGTCAAAATGATATAAAAGATTCAACGATCTCATTTTTCACCAAATTATAAAAAGTAAAAGCCTTAAACACCGTAAGCGGCGCGTCTAATGTTCGAAACCAATTTTCTTCCTTCAGACATTCATTTTTCACTGTTGATAAAACCTTAAATATTCGTGGAGAGGAGATTAAATATGTTATTAATGTTTCTAACCATTTCCTAAAATCATTGGAATTTTTTTGTTTAAATATAATTGTTTTTGATACAAACAATTCTATTAACATTTTTTATTTGTAAAGCATTTTATTTTTAAAGTTTAAAACTACACGTATTTATTTATAGTTGTTTATCGAAACGGATCCAGTGAACTTTACAATGAGTGACACTCACTGATATAAGTCAGTGTGTGAGTGATGGCTGATTAATGATCGTGTTCACTCTACCATCGGAGCACGTCGTGTTATATGTATATAGTGATACATTAAATTTATTTATTCCTTTTCGATACTTTAAAAGTTTTTTTCTCATACATTCTCTTCCATTCTTTACCTCCAAGTTTACATTCCATTAGGACATTAATTTTCCGTTCGGACGTTTCGCGACTTCAAAACTATTATCTCGAGACTCTTTGTTCGTTTTAATATCCTTAAAGTATTTTTTTACATTTTCGCTATGCTTTTATATTATTTGATTTTTTTTTTTTGTTAAAGAGGTTTTAAAAATAAAGTTATTTTTGTACATTTTTTTATCAAGCCTATAATTTTTATGTGCAAATATACAAGTGCGAGAAATTAAAGGTTACAAAATGAAAAATTCGATACAAATCTTTGAAATAAACGTCTCTTATGAAATTAACTTATAAGGAAATTTTTTTTCTTAAATATATATAAATATCACATAAAAAGTATGAATAATAATAATTAATTAATCAATGTAATGATTTACTACAAACAAATTAAGTATACATTTTTTATATTATCGCTTAAATTAATAACGTTCACACAAAAAGAAACAGCTGATATTTTAATTCAAATCATGCGTATGTGATAGCTTCATAATGTACTCTAGTTATTTTTTTAAACTATCAATATATAGAAAGAATATGTACATTTGGCGTAAACATGAAACAATAATAATATTTTTGTATGTTAACAAGATATGCCTAGTCGCCTACATTATAACATATAGGGTACGTACGTAATTTATATTCCGCGAGGATCATTCGTTGGATATAACGCTGAGCTGCGATTATTAGAGTTTATTTGACAAGAGTCCAGAATGTACGGGATACAATATTAATACATATGATGATTGTCCGCGAAATATGAGTTGTTTGGAATCAGGCTTATAAATTTCGAATACATCGAAGATTTCATCATCAGCCTATCAGAGCCCACTGCTGAGCAAAAGCCTCTTCTCACATGGAGAAGATTTGAGCATTAATCACCACGCTTTCTCAAGACGGGTTGGCGATTTCAAACTTATAATTGGAAATTATAAGTCCAGGTTTCCTCACGATGTTTTTGTTCATCGTCTATCAGTGGTATTTAAAGACTCTTAGAAAGTACTAAGACTCGGAAAAATAACATTGGTACTTGTCGGGTTTCGAACCCGCGCCCTCATGCATGAGAGGCGGTCCTATAACCACTGGAACATCACGACATTTTAATCGATGATTTAAGATGAAATATATAATATTGACCTGTGTTATGTATTTGATAATATTCCTTAAAACTTTTTTAATTTTAACCTTACGTCATATTTAATTAAGTATAAAGGTAACATGGCGAAAAAATAGGGAAAAATTTTAAATAACAATTTCTCGCCTCCGATATTCTCATGGCTCGTTTTAATTTAAGCCAAGATTTAATTAAACCATGCGAAATACAATAACCAGCTTAACGTTTAAATATATAAAATTATTGTTTGTTACCAACACATATATACATATTATGTATAATAAGTAGAAATTTATTCAGTCTACTGTATTCCATAGATTTCGCTTATATTATTGAAGTTTACTTAATAAATCTATATGTTTACTATACATGTAATCTTCGGTATATTATTATAATATTTGTGACTTAAATAAGTGTATATTTACTGTGTATGTAACATATTTTTCAAAGTCCCATCGTATAGTATTTCATTAACAGACTGTTTGTTAATCCTCGCTGACCCAATTCGACGTTTCGAATTAATCGACTCTGATCTGTTCGGACTAATTGTGACGTGAGTGTTGTCAGATAACGTGGATTTGGATTTCATAATAATATACATTTATTTCAAAACATCTAAACTATTGATTATATCTTTCTATATACTGATTATAAGTGCAGTTACTCTAAAATAAGTAATTTTATGCTATACATATTTGGGATAATAAAAATGTATGGCCTATCTCTCAATCGACTTTCGCTATGAATTCCGAGATTGATGGCGTTTCTTATCTAAGATCAGAACAAATGAAATTTTATATTAAGACAATATATCAGATGAAGTACCTACATTAGATGTATTGAAACGCTTTCTTGTATTCGGTTCACGGATTTATTGTATACGTATATTGTTTTAATCATCTTGAACAAGATATATAAAGAATTTGTTTTGTTTACCAGAGCATGTAATTTTAATTCTATATAATATGGGGCTTTCTAGTAAAAATCAATGAATTTTCATTACCTATCTAAGGTATATATAATTAGGTAATTTTTAAAAGATATTAATATGATGTAGTTTTTGTTGCTTTATACATATTAAATATGAAGTTGAATAGAAAATTATTTATAAAATATGAATTCAGTTATGGGATTATGTACCGCTGATTCTCCGCGTCTGACTCGAAATGTTCCCAAAGGATTTAATATATGGATGGTGGAATTTTTCCTATATTTTCCACCGATGAAATTCTAACCAGACATCGATAGAATCCCTCTGGGAGTGAGAAGTTCTATTTGCTAGCAGCACGGTACACGCCTACACGTATACATCTTGTATGATGTATAATATCTGCTATAATTCGTTTTATAATAAGGGCAATTTCATGACAAGATCCTCTCATTTGAACGTTGTCAGTTTAATTCTGAATTGTAACATTATATGAAACAACATGTTGTTTTTCCCTTTTCATAAATTTTATCGATTGTTTCAGGGTGAAAAAGACAACACCAAAAACTGTATACTATCCTGCGAGAAGAGGAAAGCTGACGATTCAGATGTGAACAAAGATTTGAAAAAGGTTAGTTTATTCATTATAAAATGAAACGAATTCATACATTAAGTGTACTGAATCCAATTAAGTATGAAACTTTAAATGTTAAGTGGGATTTCTTACTATCTCTGTAACCAGTTACCACCCGTGCGACACGAATACGTATGTAATGAAGACATTTCATTTACCACCGTTGCGGTTCAAATACGGCTTCAACGAGTTCGATCACGCGATACTATTACTTAATGTTTGTACCACATTGGTTTCTAATACATACGTACAAGGATGATTTTTGTATGGGGTAGCGATATGGAATATATCGAAGGCTCTCTCGCTACCCTATATATATTATAGTTATACACACAAGGGCGACTACGTAAATATAGAAGTTGAGACAACTTCGTTTTAAACTTTTCGTGTTTGTTTTATTTAGTATATATGTTTTTGATTTCAAAACATTTGATGTGTTTCTAGGTATGGACGATAGATTTTTAATAGCGTGCTTAAAGGTTCAAATAATAATTTTAATGATTAAATGATTGTATATATTTTTCGGGAATTCAATTCCTCATATTCTGTTTGATTATTTCATTTTGTTCTTTGGCTGTAGTATTATACTAAGAACGTTTATAAATACTTTTATAACCTCTTGAAATGTCATTAGTGAGTGTTAGAATAATAAAATAAAGTGAGAATTGTCAGTTATTTTGATGTAATAAACGGTTCGGATGCACAACGAGCTTGCAATAGCAACAGTCACGGCATCTTGCCAAATGCTGGGTACAAATCAATTTGTGTCATTCGATGTTTGTATGCTTCAACAAACAATTTGGTTATGTAATAGGAAATAACACTAACATTCTCATAATATGATAAATATTTGAAACAATAATAGGTGTATTAAATATTTAAACATACAATAAAATTATGAAATCTAAGACTTCTACGAGTTGTATTCATTTAAATGAAACTAATATTTTTCGTATATATTTTATATACTCGCACTACGGTTGTTGAAAAGTATCCGAAACCTTGGGAGTATGTATATAACGTAATATAACTCCAAACGTCCTTTAAAGGTCGCTAATTTACGACATCCCTGATAATTTGAATACATTGGCTTTTTAGGGTATAGCATGTAAATGCCTTTATGTTTGAGTTTAAACAGTCGCCTTCAATATACGATATAAATTAAAATAATCGCTATTTAATTTAATCATAAATTCCTATACTGCATCAGGGAAGGTTATATATACTCCTATATACAGGGTGACTGGTGAATTACTATCAATATTTAAGGAGCATACTCGGTACATGATTCTCATTTGAATTATGTAAAAAAAATAGGCACTTAATTTTTGACAAAATTTCCGTATAAATAAGTAAAGTGTTGACACGTTCCAAGTGTTCAAGTGTGGACGCGTGCGGCGACGTGTTGATACAACACCACGTCACGACATGCGTATGTGTGAGTGTCAGTGTATACCTAATCTGTAGGGTGTTCACACGATGCATAATTAATTACATAACTTTTGGTTAACTTTACTTAGAAGTTTATTAATATTTATGTTATATTAATTTTTATTTTGTCATATATGATCGTCAAATATCACGTCCTCAAATATCGATAGTAATTCACCAGTCACCCTGTATATTATGCAAGATGTCCTTAATTTTTTTAATATTTCGTGGTCAATGCTATATGGGTATAGAAAATACTTAATTCACATATTGGTGTTAATATTCAAATACAAAACATTTATTAACATCGTCACTCTTCTAAATGTCAAACTTTCCTCAAACTGTGGTTTTAATTTTAACTCTGGCGTTTATTTAAAACTTATTCGAAGCACACAAGGAAATCGTATAAATTTACAATCAAATTGATTATTCATTTCACTAATAAAAACTATATTTGTTGAATACAAAACTTCACTCATTATAAAATCCATAAAACCGGTTTTTAACGAACATCGAACTGTTATCGCGACGTTTTAATGTTCATCCTCTTATTTGATACAAGTTTTGGTCTTACCTTTTCGTTAATTTATTTTCAAAGTAAATGAATTTATATATAGGTATTATTTTGAACGCATGCTTGAACAAATTCTTGTATTAAAAACAGAAAGGTTAATGTACGTCTTTTTTTTTTTATGTGAATGGTGGCAATCGAGCAGACGGCCCACTTGATGGAAGGTGGTTACCGTCGCCCATGGACATCCGCAACATCTCTGTTTCGGATGCGTTGCCAACCTTGTTTTTTAAGGATAGGAAGGGGTGGGAATAAGGAAATGGTAGAAAAGGGTAGGAATAGGGAAAGGGCAACCGGCTCTCTCACTCATCGGACGAAACGCAGCCATTAAATACTACTTCACGCCGATCTTCTGTGAGAGGGTGGTACTTCCCCGGTCGAGCCAGCCCATGTTCGAGCTGTAGTAACTGACTACAGCTAGGCTCTACCACCTAAAAACGTCTCGATGTTTATCGTTAACGAATTTCTTTTCAATTTATTTTAAAATTCTTAAAAAACATTATAAGCTCGCATTACAAGCTATCTAAGCAAACGAAATAAAATAAAACTGTTTTAATTTATAAATAGCAATGTACAGAAAAAAGGAAAAAAGTTTATTTTTAAATCTAATTTATATTAAGCTTAAACATGAAACGATTACGTAACAAAACAAGCATAACAGGGAAAAAATCTTCAACAGTAAATTGTTTCGTTAAAAAACTTTTCTCATTTCCCTCATTCTTAACTTTATAAGCGATACTCGCAACAAAATATACTGGAAACATTCCATCTGGGTTAACTTTACTAATAAGTAATATATTTTTAAATCGATGCATGTATGGTGATTAAATTTGTTAAGATTTTATTTCTTTCCAGGCTAAACTGGAAACGAAAGCTCTGAAGGCAAAGAGACCTGGATTCACGGACGACAGATACAACGAAACGTCTTATTATATAGAAAATGGTGAGATTTATTACAAATATTTTATTTTTCTTAACACCTGTAAGGAAACAATGAAAAAAATAAATGAAACATTACCCTATTTTGATTCTGTTTCATTCTCAATACCTAAAAGTCATAATATCTGAACCGCTAAAACTCAAAAGAGTCGTGCATTAAATAAGAAATTCACCTTTACAAAGTTCACCTCTCAAGCATATACTACTTGAGCTCACATCGGGGTCGGACGTTTAAAAATTAAGAGACCGCGAATTGACTCTCTTTTATACGTAGACGTTCTCACTTAAGAAAATATATTCTACAGCGTTTATATTAAGATTTCATTTAATACAGTCACGTTTAAAGAAAATAAAAAACAGTAACAGGAATACTGAAAATAAAATACGCTGTTTTTTCTATAAAAATTTGTAATAAAATTAATAATAATATAATATAAATTAGAAGTTCTGTTTGTAATTTCGGATTATTCAAATTGTTATTCTTTTGTAACACAAAGACTTATCGAATTTGTGAAGTTTTATTCCTATAAACTCTCATACTTTGTTGCCTTAATTCATCCGATTTGGTTTTCTTTATAGAATTAACTTTAAATAAATTCAATACAAGTTAAAGTTTGATATTAACATTGGAATTAAATTAAATATACTTTCTCTTACAAACAGACTTATATTTATCATATCTTATAAACCTTATATTTACAGGACTTAGAAAAGTTTACCCCTACTATTTTACCTTCACAACCTTCACTAAAGGCAGATGGGTAGGTGAGAAGATACTCGATGTTTTCGCGAGGGAGTTCAGAGCTCATCCCGCCGCGGAGTATGAGAGATGCATTAGGGCTGGCACCTTAACGGTCAACTATGAACGTGTGGATCCAGATTATAGGCTGAAACACAACGACCTCTTAGCAAACGTAGTTCACAGGTACCGTCTATACTCTCACTATCAGCTGTGCCTTCTGTAGATAGCTTATAAGTTATAGTCTACCATATGGCACTATAGAGACTGAGTCTCGTGTTGTTCACACCGAAAGTCTCACGACACATCAGGAATCACAGACATTAACAGTATATCTTCTAGGCTTTACTTACTTTGTACCGGTGTATTGGCAACTTAGAACTGTTTAATTTCTCCAAAACTAACAGAGAAACATATGTAATTCTTTATCAGAAATTGTATAAGTGATTTCTAAGGCACCACTCAGCTTGTCTGTATATACAGGCTATTTAGTTATTGGAATGTACTGTATCGGAGATTGAATCTATCAACCGTGCTTAAACCGGATAGGCATGCGAGTGCACATACTTGTCGAATATTTTAATGGGATATAAAAACTATTTTTACAGTCGTACATACTATACATATCCTTCTGACTCCTTCCGATTCTAATATAACAGTTTCTTTTTTACTTCCAATAAACTGTATAAACAAATTGTAAAATTATTTCTTCCATTTATATATTAACTTGCTCGCGCATGTTCATTTGTTGTCTTGGTCTTATCTGTATGTCGTACATCCGAGATTAGATTTATTGTACAAGATCCCAAGGATTTTAAGCAGCCTGTTTGCATAATACCCACGGATACCATCTGCGTAATCGGTTATTCCATTACGGGGATTATTTATAATAACTTGTATCGCTCCTTCAAATAATTTCTCACGTATATCAATGATTATCACGGATTATACAGAGACTCCGGTAAACATTTGTAATGAGATAAATGCCTTATGAGATAATTCACACGGCTTACTGACGACGATACATTATGAATTATTATGTATCTTATAGTCTATATATGTTTATAAAAGAAAATAAATTTAGAAATGAATGTACACATGTATATACGATTATAAAATTCAATTATTTTGCTGAAAGTAACAAAATAAATGCATTTGAATTGCTATCAGAGTAATGATACCGTTATTTACCGTGTTTGCTTTTTAATTATTCGTTATACATGTCATTGAATTTTAACGTTGAAATCTGTCGAACGCAATGTAGATAGTGTATGTTTAGGCGACACCACTATATATACGAATTTGAGTGCTATATTATAAAATATTACGGATGATTTTCGTATGATATGGATTGTGTATGATAAGTTTAAGAAGAGCGTGGGTTCAGTAATGACAGCTGTAATATGGGATAGTGATACGCAGTTGGTATCGACGAATATCATAGAGAAAGACTTGACAATAATGACATGTCCGGAGGAGTCGGCGGCTTCGACCTGACGTATGTATCGTTACAGGCACGAAGTACCAGTCACCAGCCAACCGATCACCCTCGTACATATCGACGAGGACATTGTGGTTGTCAACAAACCAGCCTCTATCCCCGTAAGTGGCAATTGAGACAGCCATGTTATGTTTGCTTTATGTCCCATGCATGCTCGAACTTCGCTGGTTTAATTTCACTGTCACTCTAATTAGCTGCTTGTAATGTATTTTAAGGTAAGTCCCTTTATGAAATCACTTTAATAACACTATATAAATGTCCGGTTACTGTAAACACATACTAATGAAAGAGCTTTTACTGTATCGTGTAACGTATTTTGTACTCGCCAAAATCCGCTTTCCTGTCGGCATAAGCCAGCATCACAAAGTCCTTTACGCAAAATGGTTACTTTAACAAGAAATGATCTCGGGCTTGTCGTGATGGAGTGCTTCTAATATTGCGAAGGCAACGTGCCGGCTCTCTTATGACCGACTTAGAATATGATAACGTTATACTGAAAGAGGAAATTTTAAATAGACATAAAGAAAATATTAGAACTTGAATTAGAAATACATTTTATTTTTAAAACATTACTCACAAATTAAAGAGATATTAAATATTAGAGATAATATATCTCCCAAAATAGCCCAGATATAAAATTTCACTGAAACAAACAAACAAAAAAGTTATGATGTAGGTGTTTTTGTGAAAGCAATTTATATTTTAATAATATTTCTGCTTTGTTTTTTTCTCCTTCAATCTATCGAAATGACGAACTTTAATACATTTTATAATTACAAGTATCTTTCTGATACGGTTATCAACATTCGCCCTGGGGGTTATTTAATAAATTAGAGTAATCATGTTATCTCGAGAACAAATTCAATGCCAAAGGCGGGATTTCTTTGTTATTTATTATTTGCGTGTTCTACCAGAATGTTGATTTTTATTTTACTCAGCGCTAAGAGTGACCGTGTCCAATTATCTTGATTGATGGTAAACCGCTATGGGAGGTCTTATATGGTTAATGGTTAAACGATATTTTAGCGTTATACCGACAGACAAAGATAAAATATACGCCAATATGCAAACAAAATTGTCACCTAACCAATGAATACAACAGAATCCTTTTTACTCTCGCGTTTATACCAACTCTATCCTTATTATAAAGATATATCCGATGTCATAATGAATTGAACCATTAAAGTACACTTTACACAATCACACAACATTTACATAGTATTTCTCATTGTTATATATATTTTTTATGTATTTTCTTATTCTACTGTGTCTATATTTATATGCATTTTGACCCCTTAGAATAGAATTTATTGTTACCCCTCCCGCGTCGCGCTTAATTTAGACAAACCATGATGTTTCCTTTGGGCATAATATTGTTAAAAATTTATGAATCTCTTTGAAATTGCAAATGAATTTACTAGCTTCCTTTTTATATTTATTATTATAAGATTAATTGAATTATTAAAATAGTCTAAATTGTATAATTGATTTCGTTACTGCGTTAACGAATTGAAGTGAAGTATTTTAATATTTTTTTGAAGTTTCACTAGCATAAGCAAATGCGATTGCTATTCCCTGCGACTGAAATAATTTATATTTTTAAACATAAAAACCTTACAGGTTTTAAATAATTTAAAAAACATTGTTTGCATGAAGCTATGCTTTTAATACTTAGATATTTAGACTAGTTAAACTACTCCCATTTCTTTATCGACTTGCTTTTTATCTGTCTTCAAAACTGGTTTTCATGAACGTTATCACAATATTTTTAATTAAAAACAAAATTATTGTCGTTTTTTAAATATATATTTTTTTATATGTTGTATTATATAGTCTTGTCAAATTAATGTAAAATAATTGATTTATACTTTAAACGTGTACTTATCGTGTATGTCACTAAAACATTACCTCAACATGTGCTATATAATTGACAGCGCGTCAGTATATCTTAAGACTAATCAAATAAAGATTCGGGAGAGCCAATCTTATATCAATTGTTAACAAACATAGCTATTCATTCACGTTATACCCAAACGCAACATCATAGGGCTTTTAATAATGTTCTGTGGTGGGCCAGGCACGAGACGCCAGTGCTCGCTAGTACCTTGCGCATCATACACGCGGATGAGGAGATTCTCGTGCTAGACAAGCCCTGTTCGTTGCCGGTGAGTCAGCGTTGGGACCGATTGCGTTTACGTCAGGCCCTGGATCTGCGATTTATTTGAAGACTATCGATAATTTGATTATAAACTATCACATGTTCTTAATTCGGTTTTCCATTTTTATTCTGAAGTGATGAAAGAAATATTGAACAGGCTATATTTATTGGATATAGTTGAAATGAAATTCATCTGTATATTTATACAAATGTATAGAGTTAGTTCGGAATGAAATTATATTTTAGCATACGTAAATATAATGAAATGTTTTCGGGTTAGATGATCAGAATTCGCCGGCAGGGTCTGACTGGATTTTGATCTGCACAAGTTTGAGGCGGTTATTACTCTGGCTAAACTAAGAGACATCGCCCTCTTTGAAAAACACCACTTGGAAGTGGATGATTCACAACGCGAGAAAAATTTACAATAACGCCATTGATGCACTGTTCCCAACGCAGGTTTTAAACCTCCTTGTGTTCATAACTCTTTTCAATTCACACCGTTTCTATATCAAAAGGAAATGTGTATCGGTTGAAAGGGGGATCACCTGACTCACACTATTTGTCATATAACCTAATAAAATTTGACACGTTTTGAACTGCATGCTAGAAGCACTTTTGTTATAATATTTTTCATAAACCCAACATTCTAATAGAATTCGCTTCATCCACAGCTAAATCGTCTACCTATATTATTATGAACCTGTCTTGCTTTAATGGCACTTAAATTACATTGTTTTTATAATATGTCGTTTATTATCCAAAATATTAAATATATGCAAGGTACATACATTTTTGTTTTATCGAACGTGCATAAGCTCTTAATGAGTGTCACTATAAAATAATTATTCGGCTTAACAGGTACACCCATGCGGGCGGTATCGACATAACACGGTTGTTTTCATACTCGCCAAGGAATATAACCTCAAGAACCTTAGAACCATTCATAGACTCGACAGGCTAACCTCCGGTAAGCGTTTACTTTTGGTCAAAATATAGCATACTATAAATAACATTTATTTTAAAAATAAAGATTATTTGATGGGACTAAAAGATACAATAATATATTGCAATCAGGTCTCCTATTATTCGGGAGAAGTCCAAAGAAAGCCAGGCAAATGGAACATCAGATAAGAAACAGACAGGTGCAGAAGGAATATGTTTGTCGAGTCGATGGGGAGTTTCCTGAGTGAGTACAATTTAAATAAATATCTCGTTACCGGTATTGTATTTCTAGTTCCTTACTGAATGCATACATTTTGATCTACCGATGTTACTAATATATATTTATGTATTTGATTTTCGTTTAGCGAGGAGATCGAGTGTACTGAACCAATAGAGGTAGTGAGTTATAAAATCGGAGTATGTAAAGTGTCACAAAAGGGAAAAGACTGTTCCACTACTTTCAAGCGATTAGGATACAACACTAAAAGCAACACCAGCGTTGTGCTCTGTCGACCAAAAACAGGAAGGATGCATCAGATCAGGGTTCATTTACAATATCTTGGTACGGAATACATAATAATTTATTCGTTTGCACGTAAAATACACTCATAAAAAGGGCAATACATTTAAATATTTACCTTTTCCCCAAGGTTACCCGGTCGTGAACGATCCATTGTATAATCACCCAGTATTTGGTCCACTTCGTGGTAAGGGTGGTGACACAGGTGGTAAGACTGATGAACAGTTAGTGAGAGATCTGATAGCTATACACAACGCCGAGAACTGGCTGGGTGTTGACGCTGGTGATGATGATATGCTGTTCTCAAAACCGGTAGCTGGTGATAAAGGTGAGTAGAAGACAAAAATACCCAAAAAATTCCACCATTATTATGTATAAAACCAAAGATTTTGCTTGCTTGTAAATCATATTCATTTCGTAAAATGAACCAGTTTTTTTTCCGAGTAAACTCTTCATCAATTTGTAAATTATAGTAGTACTAGTAGTAGTGTAGTATAAAGTTTAATTATTTGTAGTTGAGGATGAATGTGAGGCTGGCATGGCGTCGAGGGAGTCGTCTCCAAGGTTGGAGTCACCAGCTCCTGGGCTCACACCAGCTACTGTTATGACTGGTATGTATTATCATTTGCATAAGTACTATCATGTAATAGAAAGATTGCGTTCTTCTAGTGTATCTAGAAGAACGCAATCTTTTGTCTAGTGATCGAAAACCAATCAGCAATAGAAGTATTTTTAACGTGTTTACAAACCAGATAATAATTTTCAGAGAGATGTCTATCTTGCCACACGAAACTTACATATATTTTTGTCTGATAAAAATTGCTGAAGTGATAACAATTGAATATATATTTTTAAAATAATTTGTTAAACACTTAATGTTGTGATTGAGTTGGAGTTGATATCTGATATCTATTAACCATTAAATTGAATTATCTATTTATAATATAATAAAGTGATGTTTATAATGGGAATGAATATATTATTTGTTTAGGAATACTGGCGAGTCCATCAAGTGGGTCGGAGGCCCCAACAGAGGTTCGGTCTCCCGCACACTCACCCTCACTCAACGAGGACTCCAATGACGCCAAGGTATATAGTAATATCTGCGAATTAATATACGTAATTGTAATTTGGTAGCATAGAAGATAGTCATCAATAGTACTCGTTGTATACTTTGAAATATGATAACAGTAACAAAGATGCAAAATCTATAGTGAGGTAATTAATTTGAAATATGGTGTGTAAAAGTTCTTTTAGTCAAAACGCCAAGGTATATATTATTTGGTAACTAAAATAATTGGGGCTAATTATGACAACCTCTCTCTCTCTCTTCCTTACTGCGTATCCCACATGGTGATGGGGTCAGTCTTCTCAGTCTTTTGCCTCCACTTCGCTCTGTCTCTGACGTCGTCTTCGGAAACATTGCATTGTCTCATGTCCGCCAGCAACACATTTGTCCAGGTGGTTTTGGGTCTTCCTCTAGATCTTTTTCCGGAGACAGACAAATTCAGCACTTTATTGCCGACGTAATCAGGTGGTCTTCTCTTTACATGTCCATACCACCTCATCCTGCTTTCTTGAAGTTTATCGGCGATGTCACGGACTCCCAGGCTACCTCGCACGTATTCGTTGCGGATCTTGTCCAGCCGTGTAACACCGCACATCCATCTGAGCATCTTCATTTCAGCTACTTGGATGGTATGGACATGCCCCTGTGTTAGAGCCCACGTTTCACTGCCGTACAGGAGTACAGGCCTTATCATTGTCTTGTAAACAAGGCCTTTAAGACGAACTGGCATCTTCTTGTCGCAAGTTACACCTGTAAGTTCTCGCCATTTTAGCCACGCAGCTGCGATGCGGTTCTGAATGTTGTGCTCTAGGTCTCCTGAGCTGTCCATCATGTTACCCAGGTATTTATATCGATCACACTTTGTAATTGATTGGCCATCAATGGTGATAGGTTGGTCATCAGATTGTGGATCATTCAATACCATGAATTGGGTTTTAGTAACATTCAACACCAAACCACCGGACTGCAGCTGATGTTTCCAAGCAGTGAGCGCTTCTTGTAGAAGAATCCGACTCTCGGCACAGATAGCAACGTCATCGGCATAGATAAATGTCCATGTTGCTTTAGCTTGAGCCTCTTCTGTAAGCGCATCCAACACTAAAGAGAATAAAAACGGGCTTAGGACTGATCCTTGATGTACGCCCTCCGTGACGTAGATAGACTTTGTGTTTCCGACAACAGTACGTACTAGCGCTTTTACATCTTTGTACATGTCGGCTATGATGTTGATGTACCTTTCGGGAACATTTTTCTTCCGCAAACTCTACCAGATGGTTTCCCTGGGAACTCGATCAAAAGCCTTTTCCATGTCTAAGAACGCAACATACAGCGGTCGTTTATTGTCTCGGTGTTTTTCAGAAATCATACTGAGAGCGAACATAGGATCGGTGGTGGACATGCCTGGTACAAAGCCGTAGTGATTTTTTGAAAGCGAGCACTCAGATCTTAATCGGCATTCTATGACTCTTTCGTATAGTTTTAACGTATGACACATAAGCTTTATACCGCGATAATTACTGCACTCGTATTTACTACCTTTCCCTTTATATATTGGGACTATGGTGCTCAGTCGCCAGGCCTGAGGTATTTTGGATGATACCATTATGTCATTGAAGAGGTTAGTAAGAATGAGTATGCCCCTATCGCCTAGGCATTTCCAAACCTCGATCGGAATACCATCTGGACCAACAGCTTTCTTGTTGGACATTTTTGAAAGCGCCTTTTTGACCTCATTGGGGTGTATAGGGAGAAATAGACCAGCGTTTGATTTTAAACAGGGTAGCTGTAGGTTAATTCTACTACTGTTAAGTAAGTTTTTGTAGTAGTCATGCCACGTTGCAATAATATCCTTATCCCTATATTGGAGTTCCCCTGAAGCGTTATTAATGGTCCTACATCGATTCGAGTCGTTTGAATTAAGATACCGTCTTTTTGCGAGCTTGTATATTTGTTTTTGCCCTTCTCTTCTTTCCAGCGTTTGGTAGAGTTGGCACTGCGAATGAGCCTTTTCGATTGCAATAATTCTCTTGGTTTCTTTCTTTACTTTATTATATTCCTCTCTATCTTGTATGGCTTGAGTGGACTGCCAGGTCTTAAAGGCACATTTCTTTTTACGTATAGCTTCTTGCACTTCTTTCGTCCACCACCACGTTTCCTTGCTGAACTTTTTATTCCCTTTTGTTCGACCAAGAATATTATTTGCAACCTTGAGGATGGATTTTTGTAAATGCTCCCAGATAGAATCTACGTCCTCATGTTCGTCATATTGAAGATTTGTCAGCTGATGACAGAACTCTTTAGCTTTTTCACCCTTTAAATTCCACCATTTAGTTAATTCCGGTGCTTGGACGGATATCTCTTTGGGCTTTTTCTGGTAAGTCATATCCATTACTACTATCCGATGTTGGGCTATGGCACATTCACCCGGTATAACCTTGCAATTTTTGATGCGGCCAATATGCACTCGGTTCAAAAGGATATAATCAATTTGTGAAGCTGTGTTCCCGCTTTTATAGGTGATCAAATGTTCATTGTTTTTTGTAAAGAATGAATTAACAATGGCAAGGTCATAAGCAGCCGCCGTGGTGAGTATTGTTTTTCCCGATGCATTTAATGTACCGTATGCATATCCACCGTGAATCCTGCTATATGCCTCGTTTCTAGCTCCTATGTGGCCATTTAGATCACCACCAACTATTGTTATTTCGTTTGGTGGAATTTGCTGTAATATATGCTCTAAAGCTTCCCAAAAGTCCTCTTTATCTTTAGGACAACAATTAGCTTGTGGAGCATAAACCGAGACGATATTCACAGTTTCACACTCAATAAGAATTTTAAGAGTCATTAGTCTGTCGCTAATGCGGCTCACCTCTATGATGTGATCGAGGTGATCCTGACTGACAACAATTCCTACACCATTTCGTCCACCCTTAGCCCCGTTGTACAATAACTTGTATCCTTCACCGATATCCCGTGCTTTGGCTCCTGTCCATCTTGTCTCCTGTAGGCAGGCGAAATCCACTTTTCTACGCTTAAAAAGACATGCAAGTTCCTTCGTCTTCCCAGTTAGTGATCCTACATTTAATGTGGCGAAGCGGACCTTTAGGTTACATTTTGGAACTAACTTCTTCAGCCGAGCCCGTCCTTGACTCGGTAGCCCTAACAGACTATTCGCAGAGGTAGGGCGATATGTCTGCGCGTCGTTTCGCGGCGACGCTAATTATGACAACCTAAAAATTTTAATTAATTCTTTAATTCATTTTAATTTATATCTCAGAATGTCAGCTTAAAAATTCATTTTATTAACGGACTTCAAACTTTTGTACCGTACTATGAAGTGGGTAAAATATTTTCAAGTTGCTTATTTTTCACTTACTAAAGCAGATTTTTAAAACTGTCCAATTTCATCTATCTAATTATAAAAATGTTCATTGCCCAAAAAAATGTAAATGAAACTAATATTTTTTGTATTACTATGCGTTTTTTATTATTTTAAAAAACTACACACTCCCGTGATCACCGGCAGACGAGATGTGAATGTGCATTCAAACGATACGTCGGGAATAATTCTTAAAATTAATTCTAGAAATATTAGTTTCATTTAAATGAATACTCACGAAAGTTAGATCTCATCATATATATAATGTTCAACAGTCGGACAAAGTGACAGTAGCGACACAGACGGGGTGTACACCGGCGCATGTTGTACAAAACGTGTCCACCGGTGTATCGACTAGTGTGTCCAACACGACAGGCGTGTACACCAGCCAAGAACTGACTGTGGACCCACACTGTTACGAGTGTCGCGTGAGGTACAGGGACCCACGGCCTAGAGACCTGGTGATGTTCCTACACGCTTGGAAATACAAGGTCAGTATTACAAGGACGTGTCCTTGAGATAACAGATTGATAAGGATAGCGTACATATGAAACAAGTGTTACAATAATCTTAATGTGTAAACTTTTGAATACAAACCGTATTTTTATGCTAGTAACTATGAGTCCTATGATTATTATTGGTCAAATTTATTTCAGTGATTTTCATGAAATTCCTTTTCTTTTATCAAGATCGTAGCTGATTTATGAAAAGTAGTTGATAATATATTGGAAAAAGAAAATATTTAAACTAAAACATTTAAAGTTTTCGATATGAATTAATATTTTGCGAAGATATACAAAATAATGCCAAGAATGTTCTGATTCACATTATACAAGCAAATATCTTTCAAAGTCCATTATAGGATCAGTATTTTTGGTGAATATTAAAATTGCATATCTAACATAAACTACACCTTCTAAAATTTCAGGGGCCGGGTTGGGAATACGAAACAGAACTTCCACAATGGGCGGACATAGATTGGGAAGAATCTGAGAGTTCATAGTCACAGAAGAAGAAACGCGCCTCGCAATGAAAACAGACCAAATAAATAAACATATATAGTTGTACGATGATGGAAAACTAGAAGACCTTACGATCACAGCCGGTCATCGAACCCGGACTAGGAAACGTGAATGAAGCTATACAAGGTATTCGTGGTTTTAAAATACGTTTAGTAATAATTATAATGAAAACGTTTTCGGTGAATAATTTACATGTATATAGTCTGCGAGGCGCTCCGTTAGGACCTACCCAACAAAAAACACAGTCGTGAAGTAGGTTTTGTAATTAGATAAGTTAGATGGACTTATTTTATTAGGTGATTGCACCTCCGAAAATTCCTCGTTTATTTTATATTTGTGTAGGGATTATTTTTTTTTGTTTTATCGGACCCATTACGTTCCTATGTGTTGAAGCTTCGTAGTGTTAATATTTTGCAGTTTTGTATGAATCTTAATAGATTTATCTGATTAAGGTCGCAGGGTACGAGGATCGACGATGTACGGAACCAACACTATCGTTTCTAAATTTGATATATCTGATACAATTTCGTTTATATCTGTCCCTTTACTATAAGTTTGCAACGACAAACTGAATACAAATAATGTCAAGTATATAATTCATAAACCTCAGTTGTAATTTAAGAATGACTTCAATCTATCCGTATGAAGTGTGAATATGGAATCTTATAGTAAAGATACCGAATCCTTGTGATTTCTAAACCTATGGTTAGTATTTCGGACCAGTTTTAACTGTTTTAAGTAGAATCGTACGTACGTCACACGATATTGTATGAAATTGTTAACGAGTTATTATAATTGTCGTTAGAGTAACGCATTTTGCGTGCGGTCCTACCGACCGATGAGTTTTTGGCTTCCATAGTGTTGTGTAGACTATAGATTATCTCGGATATTTTGTACTTTAAATACATCTAATATAAAGACGAATTTCGCTTATCAATAGTCTCTTGTACGCTACCCCTACCACGTGTTTTTTATTAACTCGCAATAGTCGAACGTATGTTTCGTTTAACATAACCAAAGTCGTCTAATGATTACCCAAAGAATGATTTTATAGCCAATTTATAATCGACCAGTCCGAAGCAGCAGTTTAAAGACATGTGTAAGATTTATAACTTGTTTTAATTTTCATAAATCATAAGTATTGAGTGTGTATAATTTAAGTATAACAAGTGTAGCTTTTTGGATTGTTTTATGAATATATAAACATTATATGTTGGACATCTGTTAATTTATTTCCGATCTATTTATTAGATTAGTAAGTATTTAAATGTAAAAGACAATTCTTATACTTAGATGAAAAAAAAATATTTTCACGAGCTTTCATATACGTGTCTGAAATTATATATTTTTCTTACACTTAGTGTAGTTTGTATGTATTTTATTTCTATATAAGTATATCTGTAATGTATATATATCGTGTTTGTTTTGATACCGTTGTGTTTTATTATGTATGTATGTCTGTAACAATCCAGTCGATCTACCGCTTACGAGATACGTAATGTAAATAGCTTGGTGTTAGTACTGTTAGTTATTTCGCGATGTATTTACCCCCGAATAAAATATAACTATTTTGGGATCAAGTGTTGTAAGTAAGCTTTGTATGGGGTTGCTTTAAATATATCTATATATATATATATATATATATATATATATATTTATTTATATAATTTGTTATCGATGCGGCATTCGTTCTGTTAAATTTTAATATTCTAGTGTCTATATATAACTTATCCGTGGCATATCAAGCGTGGGACGACGTGAGGTCGATCCCTGAATAATACGTTTTTATCATAATGATCACAAACATTGTAATACTAATGAAATATGATCGAAATTATTGTATGTAAAATTTAATGATATTTATTTAATGCTTATTACTATTAAAACATTTTGGTCACCACGCCCTTGGTTTTGTTTATTTATAAGAAAATTTCATGTGCCTTTTCAAAATAAAAATAAGATTTTCATTACAACTGTTTGTAATGTACAATATAAAGTAGGTTTACATTTGGTACTGCCGTGTTATTGAAGTGTGGCTAGAAACGATACAGACCTTTTATATGGGATTTAAGAAATTTTTAATAAACACACGAAAAAGCATCTTCTTTTGAAAATTTTTTGATACTGGCAATTGTGTAAACATAATTCTTATTTCTGGTCACACTAATTTTGACAACGGACTATTGTAATATGTTTTGCGATGATTTATATGTTTTTTTAATCTGTATCTGTGCCATTCAAGATGGCGTCTCGTGTATTAGTTGATCTGTAATAATTTGAATAACATGAAAGACATTTTGTTACTTTGTAGTTTGCTAATTAAGGTTTATAATAACTTCTCCTTCTTTAGATTCGTGTAATAGTAATTCATGTTTCCACTTAAATTTAATTAGAATAAAATTCATCTTTGACATTTTTTGTTTTATTCTTTAATTCCGAGTGAATTAAGCTTGTGTAAAAAAATGTTAAATATTACATGTTTGTCTTTTACTAACCCTGACCCTTTAATAATAATTAAAAGACCCTCTTTGAATATAGAAATTATTATACATATATATGACCTTAAATAATGATATACAATAAGCTTTTATTAATATTTGTAAACATGTTTTTTTCATTTATTTACAACGAACTAAAAGTCTTGCTTACAGTTCTAAGACTTTTAACAAAATTTACTCCTTTTAATATTGTTTCAAAATCCTTTAATGACGTTTTAATATAATTCTCCTAGTCTACGGAATTGGTGTGTAAATTAATTTCAAAATATGTCTTCAATTTACTTACTATAAAATTAAAAAGCGTATGAAAATATTATAATTAACTCTTTTTAGGTTGATAATGGTCAGAACAAAAAAATCTCATACATAAAGATGACGACACCTTAACGTAAAAAGTCTATTTCCTTGCAAAAAAGGTTTGATGTATAAATATATTAAAGAGATAGATCAAACATTTAATAGTCATATATTTTTTAAGCAAATATGAAACTTATTTTAAATACAATAAGTCACATACGCTATTGATAATTCAAGTAATTAATATATTGGTTCAATTTTAGCATAATATCGTCTATACTTTTTAACTCTGATTGTAAATTATTTCATTTTTATATTTGCAATGAATCTAAGTATTAGATCATTAGAGTGTGTGTGATAAGTACTATTAAGAATTATGAGACTCAGTCCACTTGTCTGATATAAAAATATGAATCCTTATTTCTATATAAAATTAATATATTCCTCATTACAATCCCTGAGTCGTATATAAAAAAAGATCTCAAGCATTCATTAGTTGAAGAGTTGTTTACTGGAGAGGTATGCTAATAAGCTCTCGCTATACTTTAGAATCGCTTGTATTGTTATTCGAAATGTTTGTAAAAACAAAATAATTCTTATATCATGTATAATTAAAAAACAACTTGATTATTCATCGTTACATACGTCTGTACTTTGTTATGGTATTGGTACTATTAATGATCTAATTTCAATATAAATATTTTTCTAATAAAGATGTTTGTATTGAAGTTAATTTACTTTGGATTCTTGCTATCAAATTCCATTAGGCGCAAGCACTATTTTGACTTCTTTCTTGATATAATAAGATCTAAGACTCACGTATGTATGTATATAAATTAAAATAATATTATTCAGATTACAACGTATATTTGACTATTTTAAAACCACATACTCTCGACGTTTCGGTTACTTTTCAGTAACCGTGATCACGGGCAGACGAGCTGTGAAAACTTTTTTGATAATGTTCGGACAATAAATATTTTCTTATTGATAAGAACAAGTGAAATTCATCGAATTTTTATTCTTCTGGTAGTCAAAGTCGGAGCACTTGGTAAATAGCACATTGGTCATATATCTGATATAATGTGTTTATAATCAGAGAGGTCTAATCTCACTCATACTTTGACACTGTACAACGAGAACACAAATTGAGCCTAAGTAAGATGTGTATTGAAGGACACGTCACTTCTGTTTTTCTCGAACATTATTTGTTTGTTTTGTTCTTTTACCTTTTGCTATATTTTGTAGGTGATAATTCTTCAGTTTAAATTCCTCAAATAGAAAAGTTCAAATTTTGCTTTTGGTTTTTATATGAAAACCATCAAAAGTAAAGCTTCATGTTTAATTTATAAAGACATTAACGAAAATATGTATATTTTTCTCCCGAATCTGTACACAGTTTTAACAGTTATGAGATGGCTTTCGGATATAATAATATTTGCTAGAGCGCTTTAAACGAGATGAACGAGCCCTTTTAACATTGTATTAGGGTTACACTCACAAATATTTTAAGGAAAAGTAAAATTCTGGGTTTCTGCCACATCTTAAGAGTGGCAATAAAATCCTTAAGAAAATAATTTTTTATGCTCTTTTTGTGTCGTAATGTTAACCCTATTCTTAGCGAAATTACCAAAGCAATTGTGATAAGGAAATGTTTTGCATTGTAACGGTTTTAGGGGTTTTCGTAATATTATACTTATTAATATAATCCTAATTATTATTATTAACATTTATTCTGTTAAATATATCTTCAATTTAGGCACTGAAATTGGAGATTTGAAGCCGTGCACATTCTACGTAAGTTTTAACGAGGTCACTGAATAATATGTATAAGACAATTTACTATTGAAACTTCCAGCTATATTTTCTCAATTTGAAAATATCAATAAATTTTGACAACGCTTTAACTACAGGAGCAAAACAGAACATGTTTGAATACGTTACTATCGATTCCAAATAAAAATACGATATTGTTCTTAGACCACTGCAACTTATATAAAGTTAATATGATAAAAAAATATTTAATTAAAGATAAAAAGAATAAAAACTCTAGCAATAAAAATATAAAAGTTTTAGGAGTGGATCCTTATTTTGTTTTCCGTAATGCCATGGCTGCTGAATAACATAAAAATATTCTTAGTCTCATATCATTTCCAACAATCTTTCATTATAAATTTTTTTACCGCAATTTTGTAACATTTGGAAATACATTGAAATATTTTACAACCTATATTCTGATCACATTAATTCTTGTAATATAAAATGTTGTTGACAATTCTGTTTGAATTAATATAATGTATTTTTCCAAGGAGGGTTGATGTCAGGCAGGCGGCCGGTCGTAAAAACAATTAGTCAAAAAAACTATTCACAACATGTAGGCAGACAGACCCTGGCTAAAGCTGGTAATATCAAGAAACAGATGAAACTAATAGCAAATATATATGTCGGTATGCACACATCGGTATAACCTCGTATAAAAAACACAGCCACTGAGTGGGAAGCATTTAATAAATAATATCAAGTGAGTTTTCGTGGACCTACATTTTTTAAGATTGGATTGAAACTGTAAGTGTAAAGTCTGTCAATATTTTTTCTCTATACGAAGAGAAGGTGCGAAGTTATGGAATTTTTTATAAAAATAATAAAAGTAGCAAAATAAACGCCAACGCAACAAATACGTTGTGCTGTTTTCAGAAGAGAATTAACTGCCAATACTTAAGGAAAGGATGACAAAAAAAAGGTTAACTCATTATTTTGTGAAATAATAAATACATTAACAACAAATTAAATTCATACCAGAACACAACAAGCAGAAATAAAACGAATTCCAAGGAAATATAAATAAAATTTCATTATTCGTTCTTTTATAATAATTTAAAGAATTATGTTATGTGAGGGAAGTTTCACTAAAAATCTCTTTTAGTTCGGCCGGTTCTGAGTTTGCGTTTCTGATACCTGTCAATTCTTTATAATTTTCCTCACATTTGTGTATTGCATTCATTACGAATATTTAATTTAATTCAATAAAGTTTTTAATAATTTATATAGGCATTCCATAATTATATTTCAGGCAAAATATAAATGCAATTGTTATTTTAATTGTTACATTAAAATTATAAAAATATTCTATACCATTTTTTTCACTATTTCGTCACATCACAAAAACTAACAGTTGAGAAACCCTTTGAAGAGCGCAGTTTCACTTTTAAGGTGATATTATTGAATGGTAAACTCGTTAATACCTAAAAAGACAAATGAAATATATTGCTGTAAAAAGTACGCCAGTTGAAAATTAATCGCCCCTTAGACCATAATTGTGCGGGAAGAGTTTAAATATATATGTACAATATAATATATATGCAATATGCATATAATGGTAAATATAATGAATAATAAAGCTTCTGATTCACGTTTAAAATAGAATGCTTGAAAAAAACACAATCACTTTGTAGCAGCATCTGTGACAAAATTTTTGGTAGCAATTTCGACGCACCATTAGAACGGTACAATAAAGCTATTGGAGTTGAAAAATGATCTTAATCTAACCATCATCAATCAAAACAGTACATTGAAGGAAAAGTTATATCCGGCTTGGAAATGAACTTACTTATCAGAAGATTGTCAAACGGTGTCAGAAAGACTCAAGAACTAACTCTGACGATAGACATAGGTACATTCAAATGCACATAAATTACACATTTAATATATTTATTTCAAGAACTATAATATTCAATATAAAAAGTGTTACAATAACAATATCATTTAAGAAAAGAAAACAAAATTCAAAGAGTATAAATAAAATTACTCATGACTGAAAAGAAATATAGATTTTGATTAAGTTGATCAGAAATAACTATAGTACATCCAAAACAGGAATGTATAAATGAACGTAGCAAAGAGAAGTTTTCCATTCTTAGAACAATATTATTGGCCATTCTCGACCAAGGCATAACTTTCGGCATCGTAACTTCTCCACCAACTTTCAACGATTGTTTTTGAAAGTTTGTATAATTTACTGCAAATAAAGTAGAAAATTAAATATATATTAAGGATTCTAATAAAATTCTTATAAGAATATAGTTTTCTTATAATGCCAGGACTTTTAAATAACAATAAAACCTTAACTAGAGCAAACTAATTATTATCTTAAGCCAAAACACCTTAAATTAGTTAAATTCTATTTACAATAATACAAGCCGTGTTCACAACATGTTTTCGCGCGTTAAAAAAGAACAAGTCAAGCGTCATAGCTTTAATATCGCTTCGGATGCGTTCGGGAATTGAAGGGTTTGGTTCAAATAAAAAGTGTGTTTCCTAAATCGGCCAATCCTGACGAAGCGTCGTCCTCGGCGCGCTCCTCGGCAAGGCCAGTTGACAGTGAAGCAACTGCAGCCGGAGGACCGCTCAAGCAGCCGAAGCAGCCGGAGGACTGCCAAAGCAGCCGGAGGTCTGCAGAAGCAGCCGGAGGACTGCCAAAGCAGCCGGAGGACTGCCGAAGCAGCCGGAGGACTGCCGAAGCAGCCGGAGGACTGCCGAAGCACCCGGAGGTCTGCCAAAGCAGCCGGAGGACTGCCGAAGCACCCGGAGGACTGCCGAAGCACCCGGAGGTCTGCCGAAGTAGCCGGAGGTCTGCCGAAGCAGCCGGAGGACTGCCGAAGCAGCCGGAGGACTGCCGAAGCAGCCGGTTGACCGCCGAAGCAGCCGGTTGACCGCCGAAGCAGTCAGAGGACCGCCCAAGCTGCCGGAAGACCGCCTAAGCAGTCGGAAGACCGCCCAAGCAGCCGGAAGACTGCCAAAGCAGCCGGAGGACTGCCAAAGCAGCCAGAGGACTGCCAAAGCAGTTGGAGGACTGCCAAAGCAGTTGGAGGACTGCCAAAGCAGCTGAAGGGTCGCGACTGAAGCTGAAGGGTCGCGACTGAAGCTGAAGGGTCGCGACTGAAGCTGAAGGGTCGCGACTGAAGCTGAAGGGTCGCGACTGAAGCTGAAGGGTCGCAACTGCAGTTGAAGGGTCGCGACTGCAGCTGAAGGGTTGCCACTATATCCAGCTGTATCGGTACTTGGTCGAAATGACAATGATGATGAATCAATCTAATCATTTACTTCGTCTGAAATCTGAATAGTTACTTGCAAGAGATTGTGATAATCTCATTGAAGACACATAAAGACACACAAAGTAATGTAACGTATGAAAAATAAAATGAAAATAGTCTGTGAGGGCCCTCTAAATTAAAGTTCCTGTTTACACCACTGTTCGTAGCGAGGTTCCGTCGAGACGCAAACCAGGCCTGCATCTGTAATCAAACCAGACAGAAGGCGTCCCAACTGTCTGCGGTTGACGAAAGCAATAGTGCATCGCGCGTCAACACTTCAATAATATGATATTTTAAGGATGATATGAAAATGATAACCATGGACAGCAGCGTCACTGACTCGCTAGTCCAATATACGATCATCTCGCTTATGATATGAAAATGATAACCATGGACGGAAGCATCACTGACTCGCTAGTCCAATATACGATCATCTCGCTTATGATATGAAAATGATAACCATGGACGGAAGCATCACTGACTCGCTAGTCCAATATACGATCATCTCGCTTATGATATGAAAATGATAACCATGGACAGCAGCATCACTGACTCGCTAGTCCAATATACGATCATCTCGCTTATGATATGAAAATGATAACCATGGACGGAAGCATCACTGACTCGCCAGTCCAATATATGATTATGTGGTTTATGATATGGAAATGAATATGAACATGAAAATAATTATGTGGTTCATGATATGTTAATATGAAAATGGTTACCATGGACAGAAGCATCATTGAATCGGTAGTCCAATACATGATTATGTGGTTTATGATATGGAAATGAATATGAACATGAAAATGATTATGTGGTTCATGATATGAAAATGAATATGAAAATGATTATGTGGTTCATGATATGAAAATGAATATGAAAATGATTACCATGGACAGAAGCGTCACTCAATCGCTACTCCAATACATGATAATGTGGTTTATGATATGGAAATGAATATGAACATGAAAATGATTATGTGGTTCATGATATGAAAATGAATATGAAAATGATTATGTGGTTCATGATATGAAAATGAATATGAAAATGATTACCATGGACAGAAGCGTCACTCAATCGCTACTCCAATACATGATAATGTGGTTTATGATATGAAAATGATTACCATGGACATTAGCATCACTCAATCGCTAGTCCAATACATGATTATGTGTCAAAACCAGTCACCAGCTTGTTCTATGTAACCAGGTTTCACTCCCAAGAACTGCGCATGATTCCAAACACCTCTCTCGGTTCACAGGTAACCATGGACTCGGCCACCGCTCGTGTAGTTTCCCCACACGAACCGCTGATGAGGTCAAACTGGTAGTAACCACCGGATAGGACTCGAACTACGCCAGGGGTCCACGTATACTAGGTTTTGGGCTGCCTTTGAATTGCGAATATCTAATCAAGAAAATTAAATAATTAAAATTGTGAGAACGCTGTCTCCGCCTCTGACAATTTACGTAAGCCTTGTTGTACTTGATGTATCCGCAGCCGGTGAGCTCCCTGATAATACACACGTACACACAGTGACGGTTCAATAGACAAGGGAAACAAGGTGACACAAACACATTAGTTACTACAGATGACGCTAGTCACATATATTTACGGATAGTTATTATAATACTAACGCCTCTGCTTAACAAAATGATAAAAGGTTTGAAATAGCTAGTATACCAAGTTGTTAATTAAAATATTTATGCTTTAAAGAACCTAAACTTTTTGTTAAAATTTCAGCTGGCATTTTAGCAGTTTATAAATAATCAATTTTAACAAATTTATCTGCTACTGCCTGTCTCACAAAATGGTATCTGACGTCTATATGTTCCTATGGCATACTGGATTCAAAACAAGTTTATATGCAGTTTGACAATCTTTATAAAAAGTACTTGTTTCTGAATTACTTTTAATTACAAAATTAAATAGCCTTCAATTTCAAAATCAAATAGTCTTTTTAATTAAATAACCTCCTTACTGGCTTCTCACATGGAAATATTATCTGCTTCTGTTCAAGACAAAGCTATATTTCTGTGTTTTCTTCTTTCAAAAGAAATTACTCTACCAGACAACTTAAAATCCAGAAAAAGATTTTCTATCATTTGAATCTGAACTCTAATCTGCATCATCATATCCTTGTATATAAGAATTATTCTTTAATAAAAACAAAGCAAAACATTTTAGTAACTTTTAAGTAATTCAAAGTGTTTTCAATGAGTTCCATCATATGAGTTATTAAACTGACTCAAATAACATACACTGTAAGCTAAGTCTGGTCTGGTCAAGACAGCTAAATACATAAAATTACCTATCAGTTGTCTATATGGAATTTTCTTATCACAAGAACTGTTCTTAGATTTTTCTATCCTTACATTAATCTCTATAGGGGTTTCAACAGTTTTACAATAAAACATATTAAATCATTTCAGAAAGCTTTCCACACTTTGTTCTTGATTAACAGTTATAACATTTCATACATATTTACTCTTTAACCTAAACATTGCTTTATTTGACCTAGATCTTTTATTTTAAATTTACTGCTTAAATCTTGTATTAACTGATTAGTAGCCATTTTATATTTAAAGAATACAAACACAGCTATTATAACTAAACACTTAAACATTATTATTATTTTTTTAAGCTTTGTAAATAAACAAGGTTCATACTTAGATTTTAAATGACCTAAAGACTTTAAGTGATCACTGACTCTCTCATACCATACATGCAAGGACTGCTCAAAGTCCATAAATGATATGTTTAAGCCTTGTTACCATTATTATTATCATCCTCATACAATACAAGATTTTTCATATACACAAAATCATTTAGGAAAGCTCTTGTAATACAGATGGTGTAAATCTAAACCTAATTTTACAGTTAAAGAGGATAACATTCTTAGAGTAGAGTAATATAGTACAGGGAAAAGTCTCATGATAGCCTACGCTGGCTTTCTGTGAAAAACATTTTGCCACTAATCTTGCATGGTAACGCACATTACCAACATTATCAGACTTTGTTTTTAAACACCCATTTGTACTGAACTACCGTAGAATCACAAGAGTTATCCACAAGTTCTCACACATCATTTATCTTAAACGACTCTAATTCTACTTCCATACTTACTCTCAGTTTCATTTAAAGCTCTCTGTGTGTAATATCCATTACATTCTGATCATCTGATTCTACAATACATAAATATTAGTAAGTGAATCTATCAGGTACCTTTTTTCAATTGTAATAGAAATAAAATAAAATTGTTTGTCCAAAGGGAAAGTTTGGGAAAGTCCAGACTCAAGTCTACTAATGATTTGATGATGATAATAATAGTCTGGTTTTGATGCTGTATCAGAAACACTCTGAAATGAATCACTTACTAAATAATCTAATGGAATATATGTGACATTACTACCATTACATTCAGTATTTATGATATCTGCATTACCATTTTCTTCTTTTTCACTTTGTTACCCGTTGAAACCTTACACTCAATAGTAATATTTACTGTATTTTTGGTTGGTTACATTATAAGGATGTCTCTACTGGTTTTAACTGAGTTGTTTTCAGGATTATAAACCCTATAACCTTTTAAATTCACTTCAAAGCCTATCAAAATAAGTTCCTTATCTTCCATATCCAATTACTAATTTTTTTCTTTAAACCTGACAACTTGCATTAAGTATTTTGTGTATTATTAGATAAATATTGCTACTGAAATCGGTAAGTAAAGTAGAAAACTGGAAAAATTCCAAAATTCACTCACAGTCAGACACTATGAAGCTAAAGAGTGAGACTATATTGGTAAACATGAACTTAACCACTCTTATAATGGTTACGAATTAATAAATAAAACTTACCGAATGCGTGTACTATTAATAAAACAAAATTTGTACCTGTTAGGCTCATGCCTTAATTTGAATCGCTTGTTCGTTTTGTTTTAATCTCCCAGTGAGTATACAAACCAACTGTTTCGTTATTTTGAACTTCGCTGTTTAGTCGCTTTACTTGAGGTAGCGTTAAACTTCTAATGTACTGAAACGTAATGTGGTGCCTGAAAAAGAATGTGTCCTACTTCTCGATCGTGATCTAAACTTATAGTCTTAGATCGAGTTCTGTTCCAATTTTCCAAAACCAACGGTGGTTGTCATGTCGACGCCACGTGTTTCGAGACTAATGTTATCTATCAGTCTTATTCACTCACGAGTAATTATTAAAGTAGATTTGAAAACACAATTCCTGTTTTATTTTATTCACTACTTTTTATGTACTTAATCAAAAACGTATTACATAAATACAACTATGAACGTGAATGCTATCCCACTTCTGAATTAAGGATTCTAATAAAATTCTTATAAGAATATAGTTTTCTTATAATGCCAGGACTTTTAAATAACAATAAAACCTTAACTAGAGCAAACTAATTATTATCTTAAGCCAAAACACCTTAAATTAGTTAAATTCTATTTACAATAATACAAGCCGTGTTCACAACATGTTTTCGCGCGTTAAAAAAGAACAAGTCAAGCGTCATAGCTTTAATATCGCTTCGGATGCGTTCGGGAATTGAAGGGTTTGGTTCAAATAAAAAGTGTGTTTCCTAAATATATATTATGCACTATTCAAAATCACAAAGCAAACAAATGCGTATATATTTTCTTTAATGTTTCTGGTGACATTATTTAATTAAACTTATTTGCCTAATATATTCGTTTTAAAAGCGGTTAATTCTGAAAACCATTAACTGAA